AAAACAAAAAGAAAGGCAAGAGCGAGGAGCGTTCGTGTAAAGGTCCGCCTTGAGCTACCTCCACTTGAAAAAAAGCTTCTACATCTAGCCATTGTGCTGTCTCCTGTGCTGTCATGCAATGTAATCGAGACCGGCATCGAAGACGAATGGAACCTCCTCGTGAAGCAGAATAAGAGGGCAGATGTCTTCCGTAACGGTGGCGGTTGATAACCGGTGCCATGATATGTTAACTATGTTTCTAGTTGAGATGGGCTTCACCTTGCTTACTTACACGTAAGGGTCCCAAATTGATGAATACACTTTGTGGGCTTTATTCTTGGCGTTGTTGAGGGCAAAGTATTTATCTCTAGCTGAATACTAGGCATTTGATTATCCATGTATGACACAATGAGGGAGTGCGATGGCTTGAATAGTTACTTCCATACTCTAATCTTGCTAACGCCTTTTATTGAGCTTCAACCTGACCTCGTAAGATGCACATTCGTTTGATATAGCGTTGAAGACATGAAGGGTATGCGGCAGGCGGGGATTTTGACGTGTAGATGAAGTGTCAATGGAGGGCTCGACGGGTGTATGCCTCTGGACGTGATATAAATGCAGTCTCCAGGAAGACCCCAGACCAATGACTTGCTTTCGTTCCATGGTCTGACCGAAAAAGTGAATGCCCTTCGAGGACGAAACTAGTCGATCGAGAGGGACAACGACCCTGCTGGGAAGGAGCCATATACTCACTGACTATGGGTAGTCTGTAGCAGAATTATTTGCTTCACCTGTCACCATCGGATGAGGAGCCTCCTGGCGCAGTAGTTGCGACTGATCACTTGCAAGAACACACAAAGGGAGTCGACCCCCGATGTTTTTTTTTGTTTCTTGGGAGATCTGGGTTCGATTCCAGCTTGCGCCGCTTTTCTTTCTGCTCCCATGGCTCTTTTGACTTGGTATCTTACACAATTAGTTCCATGTCAGCTCCTGCAGAGGCTCGAGATAATCCTCCAGCAGCTTTCTATTGATAGTGACAGACGGATAAACTCTTAGAGTAGATTGCCGACAACAGCTCTCTGGCAGATGTGAAATATTCAATGTCGAATGAGACACGCAGCCGACTGAGGAGCCGCTTTTGATATGTGATCTTTCCCCCACGATCAATAAAGCAACTCGTCTTCTGAAATTGTGTGACAGGCTGACGTTTAATCGGACACATGGTCAGCGTCGACCTCCATCCATCACTTGCCAGAATATTGGCGATGTAGCTTAGGGGCCTGCCCTGGTAAATACTTTAAGTCAGTATCGTGTGCTCACAGTTTCACAACGAGAGCTCGACCGTATTCCATCCTGGGAAATCTTCACATATGTAGCTTGGTGTCACCCTTCTGCTCGCATCTGGCTCTGGAGCGCCCTGGACCTTTCTCCATACGTATCGGCGAGCTCTTGACTACACTGTACCACCCGTGTGCCCCGATGCTCCCAGTGAGTACGACACGAGACCTCTTACGACAATCGGAAAAGGTCTCGATTGTCGTGATCAAACTCATGTTTTCCCTGCCCTTTCATCTCCAGAAATGGAAAACACGTTCGACAAAAAGTCTACATAGCTCACAAATTTGCAAAACAGTCACCAGTCATACAAATTATCAAATCGTGGGACACAATCCTGCCGTGAACCAGATCGGTAGTTGCGAAAAAAGACAGCAGGGCCGGCGATGTCCCGAAGCGATGTGACATCCCGCCCGCGGGCAGCCCTACGAGGACTCCGTACTAGGTACGCAATCGGGCATGCCGAGGTGCTTCCTCAAATGAGAAATTATGCATGTTGTTTAGGGCCTTGGACGATCACCGAATGGGCGCCGGCTCCGAATCCCGACGGGTGCGCGGTGACCCACACCCCGTGCGTCTCACAGCGTCCTTCAACTCCTGGGCTCCCGGCACCGTAGCCGGGTAAGCGCAAGGATTGGGTGGTGCGTATTGGATCGGAGTCATTCCTGCCTCTGCCTCTCTCTCTCTTGATACTTCCCTATTTGGGCTGTTCTAGCCGTTCTGATTTCCTCGGAGCGCGACAGCGTATAACGAGCAGCCTAATTTTGGGACATTTGGCACTACTTACCTTACTTTTTGAACGTCGCACTAGAGGTAGATCGTCCGGGCGGGTGTCCGCAGGCCGCGGGTTCCAGAAGCCCGTCTAATGAATTCCATGCTTCCGTCGTATTACGGCGCCGAAAGAGTTTGGCGCGGTTGGGGAAACAGATTGGGAAACATAACTAACCACCCCCGTGTTTTGGCGAACCGAGCTACGTTCTGGAGACTCTGAGCCTTCAGCCTTGAGGTGTTTGTTGATCAATAGGAAAAGCAAATGTGTATGGTGTCTCTGCGAGAGTGGATACGGCGGGGATAGATGGGAACAAAGTCACCCCAAAAAGGGCCGTACACTACATAGAATCTCACGAAAGAATGAGGTGTGCTTTTGAGAGCGGATACGTCAGTAAGGAAGTGGGCGGCGCTAGAAGTCGATTGCCCCATAAGGCGATTCGGTCTCGTCCGGAGCCAAGCACTCAAGGAAGAGCTGATGGCGACAATGATTGCGCGTCTGCGGCCTTGGCTCTTTGGCACAGCTTCGAGGCCGATGACTGAGTTGTGAGTTGACAACAAATGTTTTTGCTGTGGTGGGGTCAACCAAGGTAGTCATTTTTTTGCTCATGACTTGTTCGTTCTGTTTCAACGAATGATGTGCTGCGATGTTCAACTTCTGCAAGTCATGCCCAGTCGCCTTCTGCAACCTGATGACTATACTCTATAGTTACTACTTGCTTGCGTTGCGGGTCCGGTGCATTGCCTCTGTGAGTCGTGATGATGGTTTGAACAAGGAAATGGCAAGCGAAGCACGCACGGCCAAGACTGGACGCGTCGTGTTGGCCCAGAGTTGAGGTGTGGTCAACCAGGGAAGTTGAAGAAGCGGTTGTGGCTGAAGTGTGTGAGGCGTGTCGAGGAAACAGCGGCTGGGCAGCGTGGTGAAGAAGCTCAGTGGGCGTTGCGTCCGTGTGTAGCATCTCTACTAGTATTGTGTGGTGTCTCTTGTGTCTGGTCTCGGCACTCGGCTCCGCATCGCTGGGGTGGATGAGAATCTGAGAGGGTACCTACTTACGCAGTACACAGCATGCAGGTGTGCTGCCCCACGACGTCATGCATCCCATGGCCAATTTTCGACAATATGGGGAGATAGGTCATAGTCACCGCCACGATTCTCGGCGCCATTCGGGTGTGTCTCGACTCTCGAGTCGTGAGTCTTTGAGGTTATAAGGTATTGCGGTTGGGGGGCTTGGCCTGCTGCGGTGTGGCTGGGCTGTTTGAGCCCTTGGAGAGAAAAACAATTGGGAACAATTAAATGGCACACAGTCAGGCGCAGCAGCAAGTCATCGTCAGCGTCAGCGAAGAATACCGTCGGGGATTACGGGCAACCTACATACAAAGTACACACATCCGTACTGTTTAGCAGGTAACCTAAGGTGGGCGGGACCAGGCAGTTCCCTATCCATCCCGGACTTCCACCCAGCGCCAGCGGTGACTAACGAGGCATGCGGGAGCGGAAAGGCTTGGCTTTTTCGTCCTCCTCAAGTTGAGGTGCGAGGTGTTGCGCAGTGATAGTAACAGCAGCATGGAACGGATCCCTGCCCTGTTTGTGAGCTTCTTCTCGTCTTCGTTGGTTCTTATTCGCACCTCCAACTCTTCTCGCGTCTCCAAACTTCGCTTCGCATCGCTGTCAGGCACCCGCAAGCCGCAATAGGAGGACCCTGGACTTTGGAGTCTGTCTGACTGACTGTCTGTTCACACAGAGTTTACACCAAAGTTGGGCGTACAAGTACTGCACTCAGTGTACTGCAAGAGAGAATTGGGACTGTTGGTTTTTTGGGGTACTCCCGCGTGTTACGGAACATGTTCCTTGCTTTTTTAGAAACGACCCCTGCCTCGTTTTATCTGCTTTTGTCAAGTTTTGCTGTGTTTTCTCACCCCGCCAAACGACGCTTGCGTGCCGTCTCTCCGTGCTAAGGATATCCAACGTCCGTCCCGGCCGGGCTTGAGCCTTTTTTGAGGCGACTGGCGACGTGAGAAAGAATTAAAAAAAACATCCCGATCTATCCCCTCCCCAATCCCTACCCTCCCATCCGTCCATCCAGCCCAGCCCTCTTCGCCGCTCGCACAGCTGACCTGACGCACTGCACACACCTACGCGCTTCCTCTGCCAACGCCCAATCACATCTTTTGCTTAGCTTCACCGAGCTCTAAGCTCATTCCGTCTCGTCTCATCCAACCTGTTGCGCGCTACGTAACCTGCCGAGCTCCCGCCATAGGTACCTATCTTGATGCCGCCCAGCTTCTAGTTGTTGCTAGGAGCTACCTGGGTCTCAACATCCGGGAGGGGGAGCATCTGAGGCAACACCAAGAAAAGGAGGGCTCTGGGTTTCTTGAGATTGATAATAGACACCAAAGACGGCGAGGGTAACGAGTGAGGAAAAAGTTTAGGCGGTTTGGGAACCGGGACTAAAAAAAGGCTTCAACCGGGCTCCCCTCCACTTGCTTGAACCCAACCTACAGGGCCCCGCGACGAGCACCTGACAGCATTGACTTTTGGCCAAGGTACCTTCACACTACCAAGCCAAGTACCTCCTGTCCTTCCACCTCACCTCATTCACTGTTGCTGCCAAAGCTAGGCGCACTTCACCGCAGCACCATAGTGGGCAGCGCCTGGAACTACCCCGCCATACGCGCGTTACGTACAGCGACCCTACAGCCTACCGCCGCCTGCGCCCCCACTGCGATCTGGGCCCGCTCCCTGCCCGCCCTGCGACCACAACATAAGGTACCTTAACCATTGGGATCTGCCGCGCGCACTACACACTATTGAGACCCGGCTCGTGCCCAGCCCAAAGTACCCTCCCCTGCTAGCCCCCAAGTACCCAGTCACCCCCCAGTACCGCTGTACCGTCCGTAAATTGATTATTACGTCGCGGGTCCCCAGCTGTTGCTCTGACGCCAGTCAGCTTGTCCACCTTCTCTCGACCCTTTCTTCCTTCCGCAAATCCGCAACCACCTTTCTCTCCTCTCTCCCACGATCTTGGCACCGAAGAAAAACAAGGGCATTCTAACAGACCTTTGCCAGCCCCCGAGAACGGTTCAAACAACTCGAAAGAAAACAGAAACGACGCTGATGGCTTCGACATCCCAAGAACAACCGCAGAATGGCGCTGCTGTAGACCCAGCCCAGGCCCCGGTCACCAGGGAGCTTCCCCTTCGTTCAAAGAGCAACATGTCTATTCCCCCGCCGGGCCAGTCCCTGACAGGAAAGCAAGAGCATTGTAAGCCGCCCGTCATTTTCGACATGATCCAAGAAAGAGGAAAAGGTGCTAACATTCCACCCCGCCAGACCTCAAGCGCGAGCTCGTTTCTGAGCAAGTCAAGTACGAAATCTCGGAGCTCAACTCCCCCACGGCCCTCAAGCGATTTGGCGCCCCCTTCAAATCCGACGTTGGAGAGGTCTCCCCCCTCGACTCGGAGCTCCCCATCCTCCGCTACATCTTTGTACACCATGTTCGCGATTTCCCTTTCCTCGACAAAGCCAGAGAGAAGGAGTTTTGGCAAGACAAGCTCCAAGTAGTAAGTGCAAGAGACAAGAGGCTTCCCCCGCGCCATTACAAACCGCCCTCACTTCCTCCGGACTAGCTCCGCTGACTCGTTCCACCACCCCAACTACAGTTCCTAGAATCTTTTGCGACGAAGAATATTTCATCCTCGGAAGACAGACTTGAAGAGACCAAGAGGCGCAAGTTGGCTATAAAATGTCAGAAGCTCGTTGAGCTGATGATGGTGTCTGGTTGCAAGACTTCGTCAGGCTTTGAGGAGAGGATACGCTTTTCCGAGATCGAGGTCGTCGACAGCAATGCCATCGACACGGGCGTCATGCATGCCTTGCCGGAGGGCAACTACATCAATGGCTGGGATGTTAACATCGCTGCCGTTCGAATCACGTCGGAGAGGAAGACTATTAGATCTCATAAGCATGCTGTAAGCTGACTTTCCTGAGTTTTCATTGCTGGGCGAGCAAGGCAGACACTAACGTCGATTTCAGGAGTTCATTATGCGCATTCACCGAAAGGGCGAGCTCGAGTTCTTCATCGGCAGAAGATACAGCGATTTCGCCAGGTTACATAAGAGATTACGCCTCGAATTGCCGGGCAAGGTTCTGCCCACTCTGCCGAAGAAGAACAAGTCGGATACGACGACTACGGGTCTGTTCTCTTCTCTGACCGGAGGTGGAAGCCCGGATTCTTCTGCCTCCTCGGTGTCATCTGTTTCGACCATGATGACTGGTCTTCCTCCTCACGAGAAGGACACCCACTCCAAGTTGTCGGTGCTAGGCGAGTATTCTTCATCCCCGTACGATGCCGTGGATGCTAATGAGCGTAGGACACAAACGTGCTAGCTCTACTACTTCAGGTCGCAACTCGCCTCGCGTGTCAACGGACAGCAGGCCCAAGAGCCCCCTGCCATTCCTCGGAGGAAAGAGGAACGAACAAGTGACGCTGTGGCGTGAAAGCCAGCGTGTCTCTCTCAGAGCTTTCATTCGCACACTGCTCTCGAACCCCCAGATTGCGCAAACAAAGGCTATGGAGGAATTCCTCACCAGGGACCAGATCACGCCGACGGATGCCGATATCGACGATATTGAACGGAGAAAGGCAGTCGACGCGATGCGCGTGGAAGAGCAAAAGAAATTCTACGAGGTGGCAAGGAAACGCGCTGCCGAGCTCGACATCTACATGGAGGAGTGCGTAATCCTGCACTCTGTATTCCCCACTACCAAGTACTAACAACGTTCAGGTTCCGTCAAGAGATTGTCGAGCGCAACGGCCTAACGTCACTGTTCAAGGAGATCAAGGAGAAGGAGACCATCCAGGACCTGAGCATTCAGTACCGGAAGTTCGCCGAGTGGCTCCGCATAGAGGTCGCAGCTACGATTTACCACCTATTCCTTGCAGAAGACAACTCTCCCGAGCTTTTCGCCCAAGCCAAGAGGATCCACTCGCTCATTCCTTATACCGTCATCAAGAACGTTATCAGAATTGCGAACCCGGCTGCTGTCATGTCCGGTGTCTTGGACGTGTTCCTGGCGCAACCATTCGGCACCCGATCTCTTCTTCAGCGCATCTTCTCATTGACCCTCAATGACGGCATCAAGAGCTTCCAAAAATCTATCGACACGCTCGGCGCTAAGATCGGCGACGCGGCCTTTACTGGCAAGCTGAAGATGTACACGGAGGCCGAGGAGCACATCAAACTCGCAATCAGGGAAGAAGCGACTGCTGAAGATATTGACTTGATTGTCGTGATCCTCCGCTCGGATTACCTTGAGCCTGGTCTCACCTCGGAACAGATTGGCCGACTCTACAACGCCTACGTCGCTTTCAACAACGCTGTTGAGAACATTGACGAGGAGTTGAAGCAGGGTGCTCAGCTGTTCTCGTACCTCAAGCAGTACCTGAAGCTTTGCACAAGACAGCACGACAAGGCCATGATGTTGCAGTTGGTGGAGCAGCCGGTCACCCTTCAGCTGTTCCGAGATTTGTTCAGCATTTTCTACGAACCCCTTGTTCGGGTCTACAAGTCAGCGAACGTTTACAGCAGTGTCACGGACTTTGCTGTGTTCATCGACGACATGATTCAGGTAGGTAGTCTCGCGAGATGTTATGGTAACAGCACTAACACACAACGCAGGTTGTTGAGAAATGCCAGGAGCAAGATGCATCAGCAGACCCGAACCAGACCGTCCAGGCCTTCATTGATCTCTGCCAGAGACACGAGCACAACTTCTACAAGTTTGTGCACGAGGTTCACACTCACGACAACGGCTTGTTTGACCAGCTGATGGGCTGGATTGAGGACATTCTGGAATTCTTGAGGAAGGGACCCAAGAACGGCACCTTGAATGTCAATGCGCTCTTCGAGGGAGGTGTTAGCTCCGGTGCCATCGATAAGGCCAAGGTCATTGATGAGGTTAACCAACTCATCGCATGGCAAGAAGCCAGGAAGAAGTGGCATCACGACAAGACACGACAAAAGATGGCGGCTGAAGGAAACGGAGGTCCCGACTTGGTTCCCACTGGCTTCTCTTCCTCCGACTTTGGCCTCGACCAGATGGACTTGGAAGACATGGCGTATGACGACGAGGACGGGGATGAGGAAGACGAGGCGGAGGAGGAGGACGAGCTCGACCCTATCGAGGCCGAGCGCCGCCGCCGGGCTAAGAGACGCGATAGGCTCCGTCGGAGCGCCGGCGAGCCGGCCAAGCCGCCCGTGTCCGAGGTTCACAAGCTCAAGGATAACTTCCTTGTCATGTTGCGCGAGGTTCTTGCCCAGTAAGCTTTTAGAGAAAGCATGATATCCCCTGGGCTCGTAACTTGGGTTCACATACATGGGTGGTTTGGTCGGTTGGGACAGGTTTCATGGGTTTGGCACATTTGAGGGTAGCAAGCCCCGTAAACTCTGGCGTTTTATGGTTTTTCGCGTCTACAATACCTGAATTACTTTGAATCAGTTGAAAATATTGAAGTCATTTACTGGGCTTCGTGATGTCATGTCCCCCCCCTCTTTTTTTGTGTTTTACTACTACTTGCCATCTCTTTCCCCCGCCAATCCTTCTTGGGGAGGATACGATTTGAATCAGATGCCACCGCAACACACGCAGATGACTTCATTCAGCTAGCATTTGGAAGAAAAGTCATGTACCTGAAGGATGAGGCTTATAGTGTGTTCTATAACAATCGAATCCTAGATAGTAAGCCGATCCATGTGACGGTGCCAATCTCGATGGGAGTACACCCTCATCACAGAAAGGGGTCTTCAAAAGGAGGTAAGGTGCGGTGAAGAAGAGAAGTCATCTTCATAGTTGCTATCTACTTACTACCAGTAAATCATAACAAAAGGGCGTGCGAGCGGGGGGGTATCCTCAATTCTAAACTCCATCATAACCCACCTTCATCCAACCTTTGACTCAAGATAGAAAGGCCCACCTCATGGGACAGATGGCTCTCTATACCCGAGTCTCCATCCCAAGTCTCTCTTCCTTCCCTCCTTTCCGTCGTTAGCCAACCATTTTCCCAGCGAAACCAACCAGGAAACACACCTCCAAAGCGAGAAGAAGCAAGAAAGACGTCCTCCAAGTAGAGTAAAGAGATGTCCTCAATGCTTCGAGTACAAATCCATCATACCAGCCTTGAAATCCGCAATCTGCTCCCTCTGCGTCCTCGCCCGCGCCTCCAGATTCGCAACCCGTTCCTGCAGCTCCGCAATCTTCTCATCCTTGGCCTTGAGCGCCGTCCGCACCGTGTCCCGGCCCCGCGCCAGCCCCTTGGCCTTCATCGCGAACCGGCCCAGCACGGCTCTGACGGCAGCGACGTCCACGCCGTTTGGACCCTGGTGGAGTAGGGCCATGACTTCCTCTGTCGGGTCGAGCTGCTCTTCTTGCGGGGTCGAGGTTGGCGGCGAGGAGGAAGGGGGGGCTGTTCCCGGTCCTGCTGTTGAGCGTCCGAGTGTCGCTGACGAGGTGCTCGTCGAAAAGGATACGTTGCCCGGGGAGATCTCCCCGACGGCGTCCTCGCCGACCTTGCGGCGCTTCGCGTCGGGGAAGAGTGTTCGGCTGACGGTCTGCGGCGTAGGCAGCGCACCGTCGCGCACCGTACGCTGCGCAGCGGGCGTGGAGGGCGCGCCGCCGCCACCGCCGCCACCAACACTACCATCCTCGATGCGAAGCTTCTTGGCGCTGCGTTCCATGGCCTCGGTCATGGCCCTCTCCTCGTCCGAGGAGACCTCGTCGTCAAGACCGTAGTCGTCGGTCCCGGCTCCTCCTTGCCCCTGCCCCTGTGCTTCTTCTCCGTCGTCCTCGTCAGAATCAAAGTCGAAGAGGACTCTCTTCCTCTTTCTCTGCGCGGGTGTCGCGTGGAGCTCGGCTTCCTCGTCCGTGACCATGAGATCGTTCGGCTCTTCTTCCGCGGGTGCCTGGACGGGTCGGTTCTTGAAGTAGGTGTCCATGAACCTTTGCTTGGCGGCGCTTCTCTGCGCCGTCGGCGACGGAGGCGCTTCCGTCATCGCTGACGAAGAAGCCGCCGCCCTCGTCGCAGAGGGTTTGATGGTGGACGCCGTACCCGGCGTGAAACCACCTGGAGTCTGGCCAGTTGCCCGACGAGGCGTTGCAGCAGCAGCAGCAGCACCGTCCTGCGGCATGGGCGGCAACGTCATGGTCGCCCCCTCGGCCCTGTTCTCCGCGTCCTCGGCCCATAGAAAGAAGTTGCAGCCGCCGCGCCGCTTCTCGCACGTGTAGAACCACCGGCCCTTGTTGGCCGTGTTCTTGCTGACTTGTAGGAATTTGGCCGTGTTTCGCGGCTGGCAGTTGCAGTACCAGTTTCCTTCGAGGAAGAGCCCGTCGAGGCGCTTCTTTTGCGAGGGAGGAGGCGAGGGGGAATATGTCCTGCCACCACCGCCGCCGCCGCTGCGATTGGGTGTATAGGGGGTCGTCGTTCTGCTGCTGCTGCCGCCGCCGCTATTGTACATCAGCCGTCGGCCGCCGCCGCGGCGCGGGGTCCGGTAGCTCATTTTTCTCGTAGCTGTGAAGTAGCTGCTGATATCGCGGGTCCCGGTATCGATGATGGGGGTGGTAGCGGTAGCGATGGCCGTGGAAGTAGCCCGCTTCCTGGATTTTGGTTGAGGTTTGCTTTCGACGGCGTGGCCGACTTTAAGGTGTGGATGCGTCCACGGGAGACGGCGGACCATGTGCGTTGTCCGGAGGGGGGAGAAGGAACGTTGGTCCGTGGTTGTCGGGGAAGCTCTAGTTTCGGGGGCGGTAGGTGCGGGAGGGTGATGTCATACTTGGGACATTGAACCCTTTTTTTGTTTACTTTGTCTCTGATCCTGATCAAAAACTTTTAATGTCGAATCCAGGTTTGGTTTTGTTGTGTATGGTTTTCCACCTCACAACGGCGGAAGCATTCGTAGTCTTGAGTCGCAGGTAACCGATAATTCGTATATCTCGAGGGGGGTTGAGGTTTGGTTTGGGAAACTGCCCCGCGGCTGAAGCTCCAATATTGAGGGGCTGGGAAGCCAACAGAGCAGGGGTGGATATTGGGGGCCATTGTCTGGGGCCGCCGGGGGTGGTGGATAGGATAGAAGCTACCCCAGCCCTACGAATACTCTGAATTCCCTATCCGCAAGAAACGTCTAGGAACTTGAGCCTAGTAACCCCTCTGGTAATTGAGCATTTCGAATCAGATAAAGTGATATAAATTTTGACTACATTGACTGCGCGCCGCCAGCCAAACGCCCGAAGTCAAGGCCCTCAACCCTCCACAACCAGCCAATCTCAAAGTTGTTACTGAGAAAGACTCACAGCACTAGGCAAGATGATCAGAAATAAAGACATAGCACGCACTTATATCTGTACTCAATGCTAACCATAAGCCCACGGATGAGGAGTTCTTTAAGAACCGTCCCGCGCGGCTGGGATCCTCTAACCCCAGTTCTCTAGATGGCGATCTTGCCGCCGCGCCCCACCCTTGCACATTAGCCTGGAGATCCCGCGCGGGACCCTTCCGGCATTCTCTAAATGTCCGCTGCCCATACTCGTCCGCACTGCAGCCTCTTTTCTCATAGGCGACGAGGCGCGTCCATAGCTATTCGATCTGCTCTGCTTGTCAAGAAAAAAATGACGTTTAAGGAACATGTTGTAAGCATTCGTAAGCGTTTGGTGAGGTGGATACCGTTTATAAGCCAAGTGCTGCCGTTTGACAAATGACACTGGCTTAGATGAGCACTTACACGCCGTGATGCATTATCGTGAGAGCTCGCATACAAGTATCATTCGCTTTTCGAACAAGAATCAAGCTGAACAGTTACACGAGTGATTCATTCTCTCAATTAACACTACAGCCGTGTGTTTAAAACCCTTCCCCCTTTTCTGATCAGCACTTCAACACCTACAACACCGAAGCCCGGACGAGGATCCAACAACGGTCAACTCTTACATCATGTCGACCCTCCGAACAGTCCACAAAATCTTCACCGCCCCCGAGCAATCCGAAGGCGCAGGCGCCCGCGTCCGCCGCTCCATCGGAAGCAACCACCTCCGCGCCCTCTCCCCCTTCCTCATGCTCGACCACCTCGACGGCGCCACCGGCGAAGGCTTCCCCGACCACCCCCACCGGGGCCAGGAGACCGTCTCCTACATCCTCAAGGGATCCGTCGAGCACGAGGACTTTGCGGGTCACAAGGGGATCTTGCACGCCGGCGACCTGCAGTTCATGACGGCCGGCAGGGGCATCATGCACTCCGAGCAGCCGATCCCGTCCGAGGACGGGAGTAGCGGGGCGGGATTGCAGTTGTGGGTTGATCTGCCGCGGCGACTGAAGATGTGCGAGCCGCGGTACCGTGATCTCAAGGCTGCGGAGATCCCTGTTGTGAAACTTGACGACGGGAGGGTTGATGTGAAAGTCATCTCGGGCGTGTCTGGAGGTGTCGATAGTGTTAGGGACCTAACATATACGCCGATATGGTACCTCGACATTCAAATCCAACCGGGCGGCGAGATAGCCCAGCAAGTCCCCAAGGGCTGGAACGCGATGGCGTACGTCGTCGAAGGATCTGCGCAGATCAGCTCCTCCACCGAGGACGACAGGATGGAGGCGCAGCAGTTCCAAGCTGTCGTGTTTGGAGTGGAGGGAGACGTGGTGCAGATGAGAGTTCCGGACACGGCAGCCGTTGGCGCGCGGATTCTCCTGATTGCGGGAGAGCCCCTGGACCAGCCTGTCGTGCAGCATGGTCCGTTTGTGGTGACCAGCAGCCAAGAGGCCCGGCAAGCGCTCGAGGATTTTTACTTCCACAAGAATGGGTTCGAGAGGGCGGCGGGATGGGAAAGCCGGTCCTCGAAGAGGCTGGCGAGGTCGTAGATGGATGAGAGCATGTGTTGTAAGCATTGGAACAGTACGGAACTGGTTTGAACTTACCTATTGAGCTCGCTCCCTGATCACTCCTTACCTTGCGGAGTTGTGAAGTAATGGCACAAGGAATTCACGATATAACGAAAGTCGGCACCAGAGAAGATCGGGTAACTGGGCCGGATATTCCTGCGAAGAAACATTATCAACAGCCCACTGGAGGCAAGAGGATCACCACTAGCACGACTACTTGACAATGTCGTCCCAAGTTACAACATTGTTGGGAAGGGACAGTAGGTAATCTTTAAGCCGGAAGAAGCGTGCAAGTCTAACGAATCGTGGAAACCCAGCAGCCGAAGACATTACGCGTACTCAAACACTTGGTATTCCCTTCACCTGTCCCAACGAGAGTATGTTCATGAGTTGTAGTATTGGCGTCTGGAATATACTCGAGCAAGTCTTCAAGACCTAGCTCTCGAGAGGCATGAGCATACATGAAGAGAGAGAGAAGAAGAAAAAAAGAAGCCCTGCCAGCACAGCTAAGCAAACCCACCAAAGACCTGTCCACCATATATAGTAGCATTCTCGCCACCGTAAGAAGAATCGTCGCCTGCCAAATCCAAGCCTTTCCTTCCCATGATTACCTAACGACGCAACTGGACCGCTCGCTATGCTTCATTGTAGGCAGCCAAACCAGAGAAAACAACTGATCAAGAGTTTTCCCCTGTCTTGGCTCCATTTCGTTACATCTCTGGCCGGTATAGAGCAAGAGGAAAACGCGGGTATATGTAAGCCACCAAAGGAAAAAACCAGCATCACAAAGGGAAAAATCAACGATTTCGGACCGCTCTCCATTCCATGGCCTGAACCCTCCCCGCCCCGGTCATACAAAATCTCTCACACGTCGTAGAAGTAGTCTTCGTCGAGGCCGTCCCTGCTAGGTATCACTCCGGCGCCTGGTGGTGGCCCGGTGTACGCCGCCTCGATTCTCACATTGAGAAGCCTAATCTTGAGCCCAAAATCGCTCACGAGGTTCACAAGCTTGTTCGTCTCGGCTGTGATGGGGGCTTGGTTGAGCAGCATCAGCAGACCGTCAAGCCACTCCGACGCCAGGCTGTGCGAGACCGGGTTAAGGGTCAGGATGGCCTGCTCCTTGGCATCGCCGCCGTTGGCAGCTTCCGCGGGATTGGCGTAGCTGAAAATGGTGATCTTGGTTGTCGATTTGACGGTCACGTTGTTCTTGAGCGTCGAACTACTAGTCGCGCTGCGGCTTTCCTCATTGGAGGCTGACACATTGGACACGACTGAGCTGATGGTGCTGAGATCGACCTTTTCCGTCAAAATGTCAAGGCCCGGATCCTGTGCTGTTTGTGCCTCGAAGTCGGCGTAGTGTAGGTACCGGCGATTGTGTGAGAGCTTAGCGAACCGCCAAGGGCGCGGCGTATACAGACGACGCTTGAGGTTCTCATCTCTAGGGTTGGTGTCTCGCCGTGGTAGCGGCTTGGAGAACCAAGAACCCTGGAGCAGACATCGGATCCGCTGCTCCTTCACAAACTGAAGTGCCTCTTGCCTCAATTCCTCTCGGACTTGATACAAATGCTGACCCCACTGATCCTCGAACGACAGTTCCAAAAGCTCCATCTGAAGCTCTCGTAGTCTAGTGCAGTCGTACTCAAGCAGTTCCTCCTCGACCTCCAACACGTCCTTGGTCCGGCTTGCCTGGCCGACAACTTGCTCGATGAGAATTCGGACCAGTTCTGCCACCTTTTCGAAATCCAGGTGCTCCGCAGCGGTGGACTTCCATACGCGGAAGAAAGCTTGCAGGCCGGCTGTGTGGAGTCGCGACCACTGGAGGAGGAGCGGACGGAATAGCTTTTCGTTGTTTTTAATACCGTCCAAGCCTTGGTAACCCTTAATGTCCTCAACGTCCGACTTCTCCACCTCGAAATGATCGTATAGGATCATCGTTACCGCGAGACTTGCCCTAGCGACCGGGCACCTTTCGTTCCTTGCTTTTGTGGATTGTTCCAGAAGCATCTTCTGGAAGCTGTCCTCGTTCTTGCGCACGTAGTCTGTCAGGTCCATCATGCCCAAGAAACCAGGGACCTCGAACTCCTGTGTAGGACTCTCGGTTTCGAAGCCCAGTCTCCTCCATTTCTCGGGGTTGTGACGCCGGCTTCCCTTCTTCCCAAGCTCATTGACCTCGTCCAACCGGTGAATGCCATTGACTTGCTTCTCTGGGTTGCTGGCAAGGTGAAGTCCCTTCAGTCCCCGCCTGTGCTCGGGCCGCTCGAGATCAACCCTTACCTCCCGCCACTTTCTCAGGAGAACCTTGGTCAAGGACTGGAACTCAAGCAGAGGATGCGCAAGGTCCTGTAGTGACGAGCTCTGCATCAGGTTGTACACTGCCTTGATAAGACCGAGATCCTGCAAGCGCTTGATGAATTTTGACCACTCTTCCATCGCAGGGTTGTTCGACTTCGTGATGTTGGTGTCGCTGGATACAGCGTCGCGGATCATGGCGTTGATGAGCATGAGGGCATTGGCGCACAGCGCGTGGTCGGCGGACTGGAGCTGGGCGATAACGAGCTCAAAGAACTGCGGGTAGACTGCGACGGCGGGCTTCAGGGCTCTGAAACCAAAAGATCCTGGGGTGCGAGGGGTCGTCGGGCGAGAAGACTGTGTGTGGCCGACGAGGGCGACCAGGATCGACATGGCACCGCGCAAAATGTTGACAAGAGGGTTCGTAACGATCAATTCGACAATGCGCTCCACGAGATCCCCTGACGACGATCCCTCAAATATCTCCCAGCCCATGTCTACTTCCAGTAGGCGCGTCAAACTCTGCAACGAGTACGCCAACGTGTTTCCTCCCGCACTCATAATCAGGCGTCGTAAAATGACCAGGCCGCCCGAGGATATGAAAACGTCGGCAAAGGCAGGGTCGTTTATAGAAGATTGCAGCTTGAAGACGGCCATCTTCCTGGCGGCGTCCTCGTCGCTCGCGAGGCGCGACAGAAGCGCGGGGATATCGGCCTGATCCATGGTAGCGGCGTCGAGGAGGTATGTACAGGTTCGGAGCGGGAAGGAAGATCGTCGGTGCTGTGACCGATTGTCGAACAGAAGATCGTCACCAGTTGGAAGACAGAGTCGCGTCTGTCGTAGTCATGACCCACGGCTGTGAGAGAGAAAGAAAGCGCTCGGGTCGGGGTATATAAGGCAAAGGGTATCGGTCGGAAGATCTCGAGGATTGGCGGAAGAGGGTCCGTGTCAAGCAAGATGGAACACGGGCAGAAGCTTCTCTGTCGATCCCTCGCAAATGTGGACGGAGGGAATGGCGTCGATCGTGGGTATAAAAAAAGAATTTTAGGATGCTCCGTCGACAAGGGGGAAATAGTGTACACAGAAGAGTCAAGGAAGGATTGTGAGGGTGGTGTAATTATTCGTACACTAAAAAAGGGGAGAGAAGGAGACGGGACGGGAGAGAGAAGAGTGTGCGTCGAGGGCTGTCGAAGCAACAGACCAGTTGTGTTGACTTTGGTCCGCGTTAGATGCGCACGGGCGGGAAGTTTGCGCATGTCCTGCAGGAGGTGGGAAAGCACAGATGCAGCGACAACGGGGAGGATCCCAGCAAGCCTCCAACTGATTTTGGGCCGTTTTGGGGTTCACTTCCACCACAGTCGGCCGGTGTTGCACCAATGGTGCTGCACGGCATGGTCTTCTTTGCTCCACCTCTCTTCTTGGGGATGTTTTAGTGGATTTTGGGGGGAGGTTTTGCTTGGCTTCGAGTCCGAGAGTGACTGGAACGGCGGGACTGCGGCGACTGGTCGGCAAGTGAGATAGCGCGTCCAACGACTGGTTTCACCATGTCTTCCCACCGGAGACCGTGAATATTTCCATCATCTCTCGGAAGAAACCTTATTGAGATTGTTCAGCGACGCGCAGGTTTGTTGATTTTCCATCTAAGTGTGGTCTCGTGACCTGAGGTCTGACTGTACACCTCGGAGTTTTGACTTCTGTCGACAAGTCATCATCATCGGATGAGTGAACCTTCAGTTGCGGTGGGCAGAACATCATTCAATCAAGCAGACGCACAAACGAATCTGGAAGCCGGTCCATAGCATTAGACCAAAATGTTAATCCCTCCATAGGCGTTATTCAACTGATAGTCTAGTATCATTGGGTTGAGGAGAACCCAGTGTTTAGATGAGGAGCTCAAGAAGAAACTTATCGAAGCCAGCATTGCAATGGGGTTGAGCGAGGCGGTTTGATTGGTATCAAGCCTCTATGGCCATTTGAGATGAGGGGAAGATAAATTGAATCAGTACCGAGGATCATTATCTAAACCTGGAATGCCAAAAAGCCGTTGTAAGGCTGGCTGGGGAATGTTTGGATTCTACAACAACGAGAAACAACACAATTCGTACAAAACGTTCTAGACCATCGGCTCGCAACGCCGGTACGTACTCTGTTTATTCCAGTCCCTGAAATCAATCAGTGGGGTTCCATGAGCAAGAACCGCCTGGAACCCACCACTGCTCGAGCCACACAATTCCAGCCACAGGCAGAGCTTCAGCCTCAATATTACTAATCGTCGTGGCGCGCGAGGCTGCTAGAAATTCCAACCTCTGGTCCGTCGCATTTGTCGCGACGCAAGCCCGTTTCCGCAGCTCCATCAAAAAACGCGGCCGCCACAAAGATAATCGAACTCTTCCCTCCCAACGAAGAATCAAGCAACTCGAATCACCGCACAAAGAGGCACATCTCAAAACCACACGACACACCCATTATCTCGAAACACCGACGACAACATGGCCAACTTCCTCGCCTCCATCTTCGGCACGGAGCTCGACAAGGTCAACTGCTCCTTCTACTTCAAAATCGGCGCCTGCCGCCACGGCGACCGCTGCTCGAGAAAACACGTCAAGCCCAGCTACTCGCAGACCATCCTCATGCCCAACCTCTACCAGAACCCGGCCTACGACCCAAAGAACCGCATGAACCCGTCCCAGCTGCAGAACCACTTTGACGCCTTTTACGAGGATATCTGGTGCGAGCTCTGCAAGTACGGCGAGCTCGAGGAGCTCGTGGTGTGCGACAACAACAATGATCGTGCGTCTTCTCTTCTTCCTCCCCTCCCACCCCTTTCCTTTTTGTGGTCTTGACAAGAAGATGATCGTATGCTAACAACTCCACCAAACACACAGACCTCATAGGAAACGTCTACGCCCGCTTCAAATACGAAGACTCTGCCCAAAAGGCATGCGACGACCTCAACTCGCGGTGGTACGCCGCCCGCCCCATATACTGCGAGCTCTCCCCCGTCACCGACTTCCGCGAGGCCTGCTGCCGCCTCAACTCGGGCGAGGGCTGCGTCCGCGGCGGCTTCTGCAACTTCATCCACCGCAAGAACCCCTCCGAGGACCTCGACCGCGACCTCACCCTCAGCACCAAGAAGTGGCTCAAGGACCGCGGCCGCGACGAGAGGAGCCCGTCACGCTCGCCTACCCCCGAACCCACGCGCCGTCGGTACTAAAGAGAGCAAAAGAGGGACGGTCATTTGGTTTCAGGGGAACACAACGATTGGAAGCTGTTTGTTTGAAGCGTATCGTTGTCGCATTAGGCGGAACAGAGCGCGACGGTGCCAAGCGATAAAGGATGCGGACGATGATCAAACTCTGGCATTGAAGCTCGGCTCAGCAAAACAAAGCAGGCTGTTTGGAGATTATCGGGGGCCGGGGCGCCGGGCAATGGCGTGGTTTATCACGACGGGTCTAATCAGCACGAGGAGAGAGAGAAAGTGGAAGGCGAAACCCCCAGAAATTGAGAATTTGATACCCATTCCCCGTACCTGTCTCTACGGGGTGGGTTGGAAGACCAAACAAAAAAGAGGGTGAGGGCGGCGTTTATGGCGTTTCCGGGATGGGTCGGGGTACTATGGGAGAAACTCTTGAAAGGGCAGAGCACCATGTAACAAAACATGTGAGATTAAGTAGTGCCTCCAAATCGAAGAGCAACTACGACCCCTGCATCATCGTCGTCATCATCGAATCTTGCCTCGAAAGCTGTGAGTGAGCCGTGTCCAAAAACTTCCCGCAGTCGAATGCCGTTATTACTGAGCAGTAAGCAATGCTATACATATCTACAGAGGTATCCCTTTTCTACCAAACCCCTTCCCCGGATGTTCGCCAATGCAAAAGATTTATAGTTTGTTTACCTCCCGACCTGCCTCCCTTTCCTCAAATTCCTCTAGCCAGAGGTCCGCCTCCCATGGTGAATGAATGTGATGTTTGGCAAAAAGGGGTTGGCCAGACGGGGTGGGAGGGGAAAACAAAAACCAGAGGGACGGACGTGCGTCCTAGATTAGCTTGGCTCTGATCTACTCCAAAGCGTCGTGGAAGCTGTCGTTACTCTCATCGGCTCTCTTCAGCGGCGGTACGCTCTTCTTCATGTCTGTGAAGTCCATCAATGGTCCCTCTTTTGCTTGCGTTCCGGTGCTGTTGAGCATCCCTTCAATGTCCTTGGATCCACTCCGCGCCTCCTGAGCTGCCGGGGGAGTACCGCTTGGTGGCTGGACAGCAGGCGCAGGTGCTGTTGGGGCTGCCGGAGCTGCCGGAGCTGCCGGGGTGGTAGCTGGCGCGTCGCCGAAATCGATCAAGTCATTGCCTCCAACTTGTTGCTGAGCGACCGGAACGGGGGTCAGGGCCGGGGCCGGGGCCGGGGCCTCTGCTGTCGCAGAGGGCTTATGGGGAGGAATGGCGTTTGTCGTGGAAGGCTTCTGGCCCGGAAGAATGGGGTATATAGCCAGAATTTGTTCAGTCTGCTTCTCTGGGCTCGTGTGGTCACTGCTTTATGTCAGCACGTCTTGGTCCAATGTGAGAGTCGGATGTACTCACATGTGAGCGTTGATGATCCACTCCAGCTCTTCCTCGCCTTCTTCGGGGCCACCTGGGCCGCCCTGGACAGCCCTGAAAAGCCTAGGCTTCCACTCAACGCCTTCGCGGGCTCTCGTCTCACGCTCCTCGCGTTGTCTGTCCTCAACCTTGGTCTTCTCGTCCGTCGCAAGCTCATGGTTGCGATCCTTCACGGCCTGGGCTGTCGGTGCCCAAAGCTTCTGAGATTCGCGCTCATCCTGCTCCTCGATAGGCCGCACTAGGGGACTGCTGGGCTTTGATCGTCTGGCGTTGAAGAACATCTCCTTATGACCAGTCTGAGGCTGTTAGCAATGCGTCACTACTGCAGCATCATCCTGAGCTTACCTTGACATCCTTGACAAACATCTCGTCGTTCCAAAGGCCCGAGAGCTCGTAAAGGACTTCGCCTGTGCTCTCATGCTTGATTGAGCCACCAATCGCATTATAGGTACCGCTGACCCAGCCCTTCACCTTGAACTCAATGTCGGCGACCAAGTCGAGCTCTGGGCACCGGACAAAGCTGTGGTCTCCAAGCTCATACTTCATCTTTCCAAAGAGAATGCCTCGAGCGTACATGTTTGGTTGTGTCAAGATGCTGGTCTTACTGTTAGCGCATTCATGTCACAAACGGCTTCCTAACCAACATACTATCGTTCGCCCTTTGTCTTGTCCTTGCCCCTATTCAGGAACGACAAGACCGCTGTGCCCTCCATCAAGCTCGCCGCCGAGTTTCCGAGGAACTTGCTCCTGGGCTTGAGTGTGCCATCAACGCGGATGTTGTGCTCGGGGACCATGTAGAAGTAGCTAGACTTGGGAGGGTGATGCGATGTTTGCTCGGAGATGTAGTATGCCCTCGTGTTATCGGGCAGATCCCAGTAGCAGGAGAAAACCTCGCCGAGGATCGGGTTCAGAGGCTTCTTCACTCCTCTGGGTACAGGTCAGCAATGTATACGGCTTATACGGGTAGCTCGGAAAAACCGACGGTGGTTTAATATGCCATCCACTCAGGTAGAACTTGACAACGGAAACGAATCGTAGTACAGGATCGTCGATCTCGGGTATAGGGAGGAGCATTTCGGGGTGGCACATGAAGCTACGACAGACGCACAGAGTCAGCGAAGGAGGTCTCATAACCCGCATCTTTTCCGGACACTACTGACTTTGTAATCCTCTCAAGCATGCTGCGGGGCTCAAGAATGAAGGTCGGCAAAACAACGCGACTCAGATCAGCTCCAGGACGAAGCTGGGAAATGATGTGGCCGAGCACTGGAGTCCATGTTAGCCGGATGCGCGTGAAGTACCCCGCGAGCAGTCCAATCCGGGCGCAACGTTTCTCGCAGAGGCTTTACTCACCGTTGCCCTGGTCGGCCTCGACCACAGTGGTGTCGTCATCTTCAGCAGCGCCTCTGGCCTCGTCGATGCTCGAGCGATTGCTAGCTGGTGGGTTGGAAAGCCAAGAGGTCAGCATGGTTGGAGGCAACTTTTTTTTCTTCGATTTGCGCACGACAGAGGTTTGGAGAGTGGAAGTGGAGGCTTTTCGGCTCCCGGAAGACGCCAAAGCCAAGGTACGCGACTAGGGAAACAAGCAGGGGATAGGGAAACGGGCAACGGGCCGTAAGGGTATGTAAAGGGAAAAGGGTGTTAGAAGGCGCGCGAGTTTGCCGCTGTATGAAGTCCACAACAGGCGCGACGAGGAGGAGACGACTGGTATTATCCAGACAATGGACCAGGCAGTGACGCTAGGGCTGGTAAGACTCACTGAGGCTGGACGCTCTGGAGCGTCTTCCTGGCACATGGACCAAACCCATGACTGCGACTGGCTCTTGGTGGGCGGTGGATGCAGCGATGCCCCTCAGTTGTCTTTCAGACCGCTATCGGTCTTATCGGCGCGGTGCCCGGGATGTGCCTTCTTGCTGGAATGAGGGGCAGTGCTCCCCTAAAAGGCGTCTGCGGGTTGCTTGAAGCTGCAAGTAGGGGTAGAGTCGGCAAGTAAAGGATGGGGCCTCGCAGCCCGGTACGTAGTCGAGCGAGAGCGAGGGGACGGGAGTGAAGAGTGGCAGCAGTTGAACAGTGGACTTTGTGGGAACTTGTCGTACTAAAAGTAGTTGCTGGTCGATAAAGCCGAAGATGGTTTGAGTTTCTCCGGGGCAAGGGGTTTGCTGGCGAAGGAAGCGTCGGGAGAATAAAGGTTGGGGACGTATCAGTCGGATGCAAAAGTGGGAAAGAAAGAAGTCGGGTTTAATGATGTTGAGTTTAGAGAAGCGAAGAGTTGGAGAGAGAAAAAGAGGCCCGCTTGGCGAAGGGCACTCACTGGCGGGAGAAAAGATGACCTATCGATGTCTCACTCGCTTGCTGTTTTCGATTGGGCGTTGCCGCCTCTGACAACCTGAGCTGGAACGTAAATCAGAGCTGTAGAGAACAAAATAGATGAATAAAGGTGACTGGACGCCGACTGGGAGACCGGGCGAAGCGGAAAGGGTGAGGCGGATGTCAGATGAAGGTCGATGAAGGTAGGTAGGTAGCAGTTCAAGGTTGTTGGTTAACCAAGGAACGGCCGGAATTTGAGATGAGACTGAGGTCAAAGATGAGTTCCGATGTCTGAAGTCGCAGGGAAGGAGCACAAGACCGTGTACAATGTAGTTTGGTGACACAAGATGACGATTGCCTGGTAGATTCCTTAGCAATTATCAATGGCGAGAGCAGATTAGTGTCAAGACGAGGCAACTTTGGGGAAGGTCGTAGACGGAAGCTACCTCCACGCCTACCTTACCTAGCAGCTCTTAGCTACCTGTGATGGATGGTCAGCACCAATCCAGTCGCTAATGGCCTGGGCTGGGCTCCCATGCAGTCCTTACGTCGCTGATGTACGGAGGGGACCCCACAACGGAGGACGGCGGAGGAGGAGGGGTGATGACGTCGCGCCATTCATTGGGAAACTTTTTTTTGGTCCATTTCCCCAATGCCATCATGTTCCATTACCTAGCTCCGTGCACCGCTACCTTAGCTGCTACCTCGCCGTGCTCTCCCCAACCTAGCTGTCATCATCTCTAAAGTCCAGTGCAATGGTACCCAAGAGGAAGCCTAAAGTACCTAAGGTAGGTAGCCCGACGAACCCGAACTACGAAGAGTCACTCAAAACACTAAGGTGTTCATCTGCACTTCCGCAATGCTTCCCACAAGTGCCAACGGACGGGGAGGAGCGAGCGAGCCATCGAGATGCCAACCCGCGCATCCGCATCTGTTCGCACGGGAGTGTCTGTCACCCCAGCTTCCCCCCCTCCACTCCTTTCTTCCGTCCCATCCCATGTTCAAGACCGCCAAATGCTGTGCTACCCTGCACCCAATCACATGCCCGCCAGCTTCTCTTCATAGGCCAATCATCCAGTGAGCGACTCCCCCTTCTGTTCAAAATGCTTGAATCCCTCGCCCGCCACGCGATGCACCCTGCTGCAGGGTACTAATTATCGAGACTTATGCGGAAAGGTATCTCATCCTGAGGACCTTGTCCATCTCGCGTCTATTTTATATATGAAAAGCTTTCGGCCAAATCATCTATATCAGCCCAAATGAAATGCTCTACAACGAGCTAGCTATTGTCTATACGTGCATATGTTAGGTACCTAAGGAAGGAATCCCAGTTAAAGATGGAGAGGAGAACGCCGAACAAGATCTCAACAAGACCAAGTCACCTACCTTACCCAGATGATTGGCGTGCCCAGGCATCTCACCCCCATTATGCAGGTCAGTTGTGGCAGTGCTGCTACTTCCAAGCAATATTAACCACTTTGAGTCGCAGACCAAGACCTCATACCCTCAAAGTCCCACGCCCTTCGACCAAGAGGTCCACGACGGTCCAGTCTGGTGGACCACTGAATCGACAGCTCTGTTTCCATACACGGCTTATTGAAGAATGGCCCACACGGGTACCATAGCCCATGTCACTCGCGTTTTTCGGCACTATCGTATGTGTCGGATACACGTCGTGTGTCACTTGATACGCGTATCATTGTCAAGCTGCTGTCCTTTCTACCTAAGGAAAGGCACGCTGCTCGTAAGCGCATGCTTTTATGCCTGCCCTTTGCTCTACAACCACCATGATATCCTGACAGGCAGCCAGAAAGTGACCCAACCCTGATGATCCGGTCGTGTTGTTGCTTAACCGCCTAAAACCACACAAAAAAAGTAGGCCGCTCTGGAGAGGCTCCCAACGATGCCTAGCCTCGCAACCCATGGCGGCTGTCCCGGGTCTTCCGGCCAGACCTGCCACATCATCCCAGTGCCTAGGCACTTGCCATCTCGGTATAAACCAGTGCCAAATCCACCCGCCATCTTCAGGCTGCGGATTCTGCCCTTTTCCGTCCCCGTGCTTAATCCATCTCTCCTTTCTCGCTATTCGTTGTTCGCAAAGCAATGTGATGAACAGATTGATGGGTATCTTGTTTTTTCGAATGTCCAGGTCTTGCTTCCAACCACAACAATGCTTTGGAAAATTCTTCGCTTTTCGCACAGCTCCTTACTTGTCAATTCGAGTGGGCTTCGTCTATCGGCCTCTCAGTGACCTGGAACCCTTGACGGTGGCCGGTAGACACTGCGTCAGCCGGTCGCGTTCTGTTCGGGAGTTAGCATGAGCCCGAGTCCATTCGGCAATTGGGTCTAGGGAAACTTACCCGCTTCGTTTTCGAAGAGGAGCGTGATGTCGTCGTGCTCACCCGGCAAGTCCGGCAGGTCCAGACAAATGAATCCCATGTCGTCTGACGGTCCGTCGCTGCCGTTGGGCATGCGCGGCATGGGGAACTTGGCGTCAACAAACTTGATGCCAGCTTTGCTACTCCTCGAAAACGTCTCGTACACATCCGTGCCTTTCAAAACGAAGTTCATACACTGGCCGTGGTGAAAGTCTGGGAAGAACGCGAGAAGTTGCATGATCGTGCCTTGTTGCACCACTTGGACTCGAGTCAATCCCGCCTCCCATTTCTTGTGGATCGGGACCACCATTCGTCGTCGGGAAATTGCAAAGGTAGCGGCGAGGCCGTCGAAGACGACCTGGAATCCAGTCAATGCAGCCTGGAAGGCATGGAGATCTTTCTGCGTCGGGAAGCTGTAAGTGCGAATCGTTTGAGTCGTCTGCAGCATTTGGAGCATTTCGGTCATGGCCTTGGGGATCTCCTTTCCAACAGTTCCATCTGCCACGTTTGCAGTCATGTCGAACTGTGGCTGGCGCATCACCACGAGGGACTTGGTCTCTTGAACCTCGAGCCTCACTCGCAATTCGCCAGGTTGCAGGTTCACTCGGTCGGTGAGTAAACCCTGCTTGGATTCAACGATGACTCTTAATCTGTCGGCTAGAACTGTCCGAGGATACTCGTCGTCGGCATCTTCGTTGATGACTCGAAGGGATGTCCAGGGGATCTGGCTGACGCCTGGAAGATACTTGCTATCCTGCAAAGATGTCGACATGGAGAAGCCAATAAGGGGCACATCTGCGTAGATCGTCTCATCCTTTTGCACAGAAGTACCGGAAATGAGGCTGTTGAGCTGGGCCCGCTCCCCCTCATCAGCGAACGAGAGCACCATGCTCACCTTTATGCGCTTGTTCGGATCCGGGTTGCCATTGTCGTACTTGAGCATCAAGGCAGCATCACCTCCGTCCGACCTAAGGAAACTGAAGGGGATTGGCATCTGTGGCGTGTAGGTGTGGTTGACACCACTGAGCGTTCTCGTACGAGGGCCTGTCACCACGACGATTCTGTACCCCCTATGGTAAGCGCGTGGGCCTGCAGCGGCATGCTCCTTATGAATCTTCTCAAACAGAGCCACATCGCAATTTGCCACGGCTTCCTTGGGAAACGCCCGGGAATTGGGATTTGAGTCAAAGTACTGGAATGACCGAAGGGTAGAACGGAAAACGCAGTGCTCATCGGATCGGGCGTATAGTGTCGACTGCACCTGGGCACCGAAATCGTACATATTCCACAGCATTCGGTAGTCCTGCTGTGAGCACTGAACGACGATCATGAAGCCTCTGGGTAGTTTGATCTCGAGTGAGTGGGTTGAATTGCGCCAGCGGACATCGTCCCATGTCGGGCCTGAGTTCTTGTTTCCTTGGATTCGTAAGTTCACTTCGCCGTGTTGACTAGCGATAACAAAGACCAAGTTGTGCTGTTTGTTAGGTCGGACCATAGTCAGGAGGCAAGGGAAATAGAATCTCTGAGAATCCATGCCTTGTTCCATCAAGAACACGTCCGTGCTCACTCTGCCGAACGTGAAGTTCTCAGCAGTATCGTTAGGGGGCAGAGTCTCCAGAACTTCGAAAGCAGAGGGGGTGCGAACAACACCTGTCATGGCTGCAGATGAATCGGCAGTGAGCAACGCAATCATATCAACGCTCAGTCGGGGGTATTCAACCCAGATAGACTTGTCGATGGTCTGAGGCAAGAACGCCTCCTCAGGCGGAAGGAAACCATTTCTCTTCATTGAGACGGCAAGCTTCTTGAGAGCGCCGACCAACGTAGAGCGAATCTCAGTTATGCCTGCGTCGGGTGCAAGGCGCTTGTTCTCCTGCACTTCAGGTATGGCTTCCTCCACCAACCAGTAGCCTTTGGCAAGGTTGGCATATGCCTGCTGGCGATCATTCTCGTTCTGCATCTGGTCTTGAGGACTACCAGGTCGTGCACGAACTGCAACCTCTAAAGCGGTGCGTCCTTTGATGAGCCACCACAGTGCAGCACGTGATAGCTCTAGCGGTGAACAGGCCGAAATGGGCTTGATTGTCTCGGCATGCAGTCTGAATAGCTCATTAAAGTGGCGAGTGCGAGTGACGAATGTGTTCAGAGCGTCATCACCAACTGCAAGGACTGCATCATGCAAGTTGAAGGATGCCTGTCTCGAGGCAACTGTTGCAGATGGGGGCGCCATATGATACTGGGAATTGACAGAAGGCTGCCGAGAGAAGTTGGCAGCTGTGTTCTGCTGCTGGCTAAATTCGGTGCTGCTAGAATAGATGGATGACGGGCTTTGCTCGGGAGGCTTTCTGTAGTCATCTGGGGATCTCGCCTGGAGAGGTACCTTGCTAGGTGGCACTGGAGATCTGGTTGGGGACTCGTTTATCTGTGGTACGAGAGGCGTTTGGCCTCCATGCTCCTCCCGCTCAGCTTGACGTGCGGCCTCTGCAAATGCCTTGCCCTCTGCTTGTCGCATCTCCGCCTGCTGGTGCTCGATGAAGGACTTTCGATTCTCGTTTTTCGCGATGGTCGGGGTGTCCAAGAATGGCGCCGAAACTGCGTTACCCGGTGCCACCTCTCTATAAGCTGGAGGGGGTTCTTTGGGCTCGATGGGTTCGTTGCTGACAGAGGAGAAGCCTGTCTGTGTTCGTCGCAGGCGGCCAGGCATGAAGTCTGAGTCCTCTTTCGGCGCTGAGGGCGCTCTCGGCGGAGAGTCGTGAACAGCAGCCACGGGTGTACGTCGTGGAGACGGAGGAGGCCGCTGCTTCTTGCGCCTCGATACCTCAATGGCTGGGATCTCCGACTCATCACCACCTTCGCCAATGATGTCGGGTTTCTGGTCCACAAAGCGAACGGTCAAGCCCTTTCGGTTGCTACGCCGCGGGCTCCGAGGTGGGATGCCCGGGCTTAGGCCAGGGCTGCGGGCGGAGTACTGGTTCGGGGGGTTCAGGCTTTGCTGTGAGTGACTAGCGACAGACAAAGCTTGAGGATAGCGAGTAGCGGAGGAGATATCGAGCTTCGAAAGCTGGGGGATGGCGGTGGAAGGCGAGGCATGGTTGACCTGCAGGGTATCAGAAGGGCCGTTGAGGAAATCATTGATATTATTGCCCGTCTCTTCGGCCGTGGGCTTGCGATCTTTCTCTTTGAGGGCAAAGAGCTTCCCCATTAGACGACCCCGCCTCGAGGTCGCGGAAGGCGGCTCGTTCTCCATTGTTTGAAATCGTTATCGACGCGCGGTAATATCGAAACCATAGGAGTAGGTGGGATCCTGCGCAAAGTAGGCAGCGTCAGCAAAGTCAAGCAAGGTAGGAGGCGTGAACTGCCTCTCCGGTGGGATGTAGTTGGAGGAGGAAGGAGGTATGGGTATCAGCAGCCAGACCAGAAATTGAAATACCTTTGAAGAATTACAGAGCAGACCACAGTCGAAGCTGCTAAGAAAAATGCCCGCAATCACTCGTGAGCGGAAAGTGCGATTCTTGTATTTCTTGAAAGTTGGCAGGTCGATTTGAGAGAAGGACGCGGCACCCGTGATAATTGTGCGAAGTGGCCTACCCAAGGTTTGGCGGTAGGTGGTCGTCTGTCAGCCCGGCGGGTGCGAAGCAAGGTAGTTGCAGCGAGAGCAGTGACAATTCAAGGTTGGAGAAGGTCTGGATCTGGCACAACGAGCCCAGACGAATCAGGATTGTTTGCCTTGCAGCAGGTAAGTTGGTGGTGCTTGCTGCTGGCGTCACTGCAAATGCGACCGTGACTGTGAAAGAAAGGCGGTCGGTGGCTTCAGCCCAAATGGGGTGAGATTTCGACGTTGGGTTATTCAAGAGAAGCAAGGGGTTTCAGTTTCGGAGAGATCGCAGGTAGGTACGCAGTGGTATTGTATTGGAAGGTGCGGAGCGGCAAGGTAAGGTAAGGTAAGGTAGGCAGGCACGCAGGTAAGGTGCAGAGCAGTGCAGTCGACGCCCGGGTCTGCGGGTGCGGAGCTTGACGACGACACAGGGAAGGCAAGGTACGTAGGTACGAATACTGGACCTGGGTCTTGCTTTCCTCACTAATAATTACCATGCGGATTCCTGGCGAAGGACGGCCACATGCACCACGTTGAGGAAGGAAGTTCCAGCGCCCTCGAGCATGGAAGTTGCAAAAGATGCAACAAAAGGCATGGGGGAGTTGAATGTGGGCAGGCGCCCGTGAAGTGCGGATACGTGAGGTGGTGAGGTGAGATTTCCAACCCAAGTTGTCTTGGACAGACTCCTCGCTAATACCTCGAGGTACCTTACCACGGTGCGTACAGCGCGTCTGTCTCCAAGTTCCTTGCCTAGGAACTATACGCTACTCCCCCCCCCCCCTCATGCGTGGACCCTTGAAGACTCCAGTCCGCCCTTTAAGTGGCCAGGGGCCGTCGTTGACACTACCTACAACAAACTCAACCCCCCTTCCCGATCCCCGCCCAACCAGGCCGGGTCGACGTGGTTGCACGTCACAAGCGAGACAGAACAGGTACCTTCTTCTGTACCGGACAGCGGAGGGGCGTTAATGGAGGTACAGCAGGGCGGGCACACCAGATGGTTCAAGTACGTACCCAGCTGTCAGGTCAGGTTGCCCCAGTATCAGCACCAATCTCGAGTGGACGGCAACCGCATCGTTTGCAAATCCCCAAGAGGAGTCGGATGGTATCTGTTCTTTCTCCACTGATTCTGATTGTGGTACTGATTATCTTCCCACTAGAGGAACTTTGGCTTACGGCTCATTTTACCTGCATGAGGGAGGGAAAGAAAAACAAAGGCAGCAAGGCGATTGTCGAGGTGTTCAGACATGGGTCTTATCAACTTGATGGACGGGCACTTTGGACGGGAAGGCTGCCCTACCCGTTCGGCAACGCAAACGAGACATGAGTGAACAGGTGTCTGTCAACCTCAGTGCACCTCACGCCATCTCCATCGTGGGACATCGTACATGGCCATTATCACGCCGCACGCACAGCATGACGCCAGAGGCACGTCGCAGCACGAGCACGTCCTTTCCTCCATGGCGAAGCTTGACTCCCTCGCTGGGCTGTAGGGCGGCCATTCCGGGTCGAGTGTCCGGGGAGGATTGGAATCCCAAGCCCCAAGAGCACGGAACCTCTCTAGGGACCTGGTCCCTACCGTTCTTGGGTACGGGTGCCCTACGCAGTAGGTATACCGCACTAATACTTAGGCGCCGGCCGAAGGCAAATTCCACACTATTTTTGGGGTCCCATTCTCCAGCTCCGAGGCCCAGGGTGCACCAGGTGGGAGGGGGACCCGTTGTGCCGTTGCAGTTGGGGGCTCTTGCTGGACGACTGAGTCGGGTCTTGGGGCCCTGGGGGAGCATTGGAGGGGGCTTCTTGGTCTCACTTTCGGGGTCCTCTTTGCTGGGCGAGAATAAAGCTGCTGAGTGGTGAGAATGGGTGTAGGGCGGAGACGAGAGAGCGCAGGCATTGCCGTCATTGGGTCGTGTTTTAAAATAAGAGGGAGGTCTGGGGGGTCTGGGGAGGGGCTCTTCGGCCTTGAGCGGTCCTCGACACGAACTTGTCGTACTCGCCCGTTGACAGTTCTACCTGTTAGCGAACCGAGTGAATAGTCCGCTTACTGTCCGTAGGTAAGCGTTTCCTTTCCAGCTTAAGTGGGCTCGCAAATTCTCCTTCGTGTTCATAGTCTGCGTACGACCTGTTTCCATAAAATAATTCCCTTCGTATCCATTTTGGTTTCCTGACCACCTCGCTCCAGCCCAACACGGGCTGGTCCGCTGGCATCAATTCTTCAGCTGTTACTGCAGTACGAAGTACTGGGTAGAAGCAACTTTGTACGTAGTAAGGTCGGTCGCCGGTCGTCTATTGAGTCGTGGTCGCGCCTAGCAAATCGCACGTGTAGGTCACAGATCAAATGCAATGCAATACGCAGTCTCATGTACCCCTTGATTTCACGGATTTGCATGCACATCGGACAATTCAAGGTTCAAAGTTCAGACGCTACTTACATGATGATGTGCAGCCCTTGGGTTTCAGACATGGGACGAATCTATCAAGCTGTCCGAACCTTAGCCTACTTGAGCAGCAGCGTCCTTGGCGAGCCGCAACTTGGCCGGCCATCCCATCTCAAAAGGTTCCTTACACTGCGGTACGCATGTGAGTGACAAAATAAGATGTCTTGGCTGGTCAACAAACAAGGAGCCGCATTCTGAAAGTCATTGTTGCTATCAAAGTTGCCATATGCTGTCTAAATCGTATTTTGCGAGAAAGACATGAGAAATGGGAAGTAGCCATATCAGCAGTAGCAATAAGTAGAAACAGGGCCGAGGAAAGTATTAACTTTGTGTCTTGTAGATTTCCTCCGAGAACTTAGCAAGGCACTCTCAGAGAGGCCACATGTCGCGTGAGCAACACCCGAACTGTCCAGCCGGAGCCGTTCCCTGCGACCAGCCAAAAACAAAAAGCTTCCCGCAACCAAAACAAGCAAACACCACAAGCAAGATTCCGCCCAAGCCAAGAGGTGTGGATAACAAATCTCTTCAAGCAGAAAAATTCAACTGCCTTATCCGTTGCATACAGCACGTGGCATTGACGCCGCTTGCCTCTTTCTCTACACAATTCTGTCCGAGGCAGCAGAAGTTCTCTTCTCCTCCTTCATGAGACATCTCTTCGAGACAAATTGCTGAGGAACGAGCAACTTGGTCGATGAAGGGCATCACGCTAAAGCATTTCGGAAACCTCGCAAGTCATGCAAGCCACCCATCGAGCCGCTAAGACGACGCGGAGCCGGCACTTCTTCACCTTAGCAAAGATACCTACGAGTCATTTTTGCTTCTCTTTTCACGGACACGACGCAGACAATTACCATCAACTCCACAACACAAAGTATGTCGAAAATCAAATCGCTTTCATCATTTCATTTCCTAGCCGTCGCTCGCACCGCAATTAAACCCAACTCAGGGATGGCCACCCGACCGTATCTGTATAACTCCGTACGGGTACAACGTTCAAACTCGCCCCAATCCAACAAACTATATGCCAAGGCCCGCCACGCCGTTATCAATAGGTTCACGCATGGACCATTTGCCGGAGTCTCTTCTCAATCTTCTGACGTCCATCCAACGTCTCCCACACGTTGTGAGGCGCATCGTCGACCGTATCCCAATGCTTCAGGTTTCTCGTCAGATGGCTGAAATCTCTCTGCTTGTCCTCCCATTCGCTGTCCTTGCGAATGTTGACGCCGGAGCTGATGACCACCAGAGGGGTATTCGGGTACTGGATGGCCTTACTGCTAATCACCTCACGCTTGGTGAGCGAATCGGCGACGAGACTCTCCTGCAACTTTGAGAACAGGTACTTTCCACTCTGTCTGGCTGAACGACCCCAGACGCGGTCTGCGCTAGTGCGTCCACGGAAGATGGCGCCTGGGAGACGTTCGATTCCAAGAGGCGAGAATACGCCACGAAGCCAGTAGGAGAAGCCTCTGCCGGGGTCCGAAACCCGGTGAAGAAGGTCTTCGTGAAGCGGGTCGATCAGAAGAAGGCCGTTTACTTCTCTGCCGTGTCGAGAGGAGAAGATTTGAGAGTAAACGGAACCAATTCCAGCGCTGGCAAGGATCCAAGGGCCCTTCTCACCAGCTCGTGCGAGAGCCTCGCTGAGGGCGTCAGTTGCCATGCCTGCTGACAGAGGGCTGGGGGCGGTATCGCTCCATCCGTAGCCCGGACGGTCAGCGAAGCAGTATCTTGAGATGGAGTCGTTCTTCAGAGCGTTTTGCGCAAATTGCCACAGTCCATTCTCGACTGGCAAGTCACCTCCCTCGAAGAAAACAGTAGGCAGCTTGTTGCCTGCGGCATCGGTGCCGTTGCCATCGCAGTAGACGTGAATGCGGTATTGGTCGCCATCGACCCAGTACTGCTCGCCCGGCGGGCCGAAACCGGCATCAAGAGATCGCAGAATCAGAGTGGCAGTGATAAGAATGATGATCAGAGACAGGACGATATAGGCCACCGTTGAGATGAGCACCTCGGTCCACTCCCAGACTGTGCGTCTCGTCTCAACGCGGCCAGTGAGCCTCTCCTCCTCTTCAGCTTTGCCCCATTTCACAGTTCGGTCACAGGCAAGTGCCCACAAGCTCACGACGAATGCCCCTGAGGGTGGACTTGTCAGCAAAGGACCGGTCACATCAGATGCCAAACTCTCAACTTACAGACAACGCTCGCAACTCCCACTCCGGCCTCTTCGTAACGGTTCTTCTGCACCGCAACAATAAGGATCATGTTGACAAGTAGCATGAGAGCCATGAAGATGGCCAGAACCCGGACAGCCTTGGACGGAGCCGCAAAGAACACGAGAGTAAACAAAAGCGTGAACAGTGCCACACTCGAATAGCTGAAGGCGTAAAATCCGGAACCGCGGGTATGCATGCCAGGCGGCGTAACGAAGGAGGAAACCAAAGTCAGAGTCCACCACGTAAAAGTGAGGGTCGTGAAGAGAACAGTCACCCATCGCAGCAATCGCACCGTCCACAGGTTGTACGGCGACACCGCCGGGTCATCGGGCGTCAAATACTGGCGGTTGTCGCTGTCGAGCCGGTTCGGTAGGAGCCGAGTGTGTTCGTCGGGTTCCCGTGCCGCGTACTCATTCGATCCTCTCTCTTCCGGAGGACCAGGTCCATCACGAACCTCCTGGTCGTCGTCCTTCTTGTTCCTCGAACCCCAAAGCGAAGACATGGCTGGCGTTTTGTGTCGTAGCTATCGTCAAAGGCCTGGACAACGGGGGGGAGTATTCGCACCAAATGCCACAATTTGATATGCGGCAGGGTATCTTTCGTAAATGCAACCTTGACCGAAAAGTACAGAAAACCGATGCAAAAAAGGAAGAATACGAGAGAGAGAAAGAGGGAGAAAGCTGGGAATTTGGGGGACACACGTCCAAGTAAATGGCAGTAGACTGAAGCAGCTAAGACGAACGACCGTGGACTAGGCACTAATACCTACCTACTTACATCCCGCTCACAGACGTCTCAATGACGGCAGGGGGGGGCCCAGAGCTTCATCGAATCGATGCTGCAACCACCACTCACCAGAGGGCAATGGCCAGAGCTTCCTGGTCATGTACGTCATCCTCTGCAATTGGGGGAACGCGACACACAGCGCTGTCACCGAATGCGGAAAGGTGGGGGAAACAACCACGGCGCTGGCGCCGTGAGGATCGCCGATTGGAAGGCCCCATTTTCCAGCAGTCCAGTCGGGGGAGCTGGTCACTGATTGCTGCTTCAGCACACACTGCACGTCCCACCTCAGTCGACGACGGCCCTCCGAAATCTCCACACCCGACTCGGAGCTAAGCTCCGGCCTAGCGTGGGGGATTGACGAAGCGGTGGTAGGCGAACGCGGGAGCGAGTTGGCGAGAAGCAAACGCTCGCGCCTCACTTTGGGCAGCGTGGAAAGAAACAGGGAATGCAAGGTTGATGGTGGTGACCCGGCCAGCTGCTGCTCTTTGCTGTGCTGCAAATGCATCTGCGTCTGCGGGTGCCAATGACAGTTTTCAGCTCCATTAAGTACCTAAGCTAACACGAGCATCAAGTGGTGTCTTGGTGTTCGACTTGACCACCCAACCAACCAACCGCATGCGATCGAGCTGTCACTCACGCAATCTTGCCGGGTAGACCTCCTCCACACCACTGGTGAACACCCATCATGACTAAATCTCTCAATCGTCCCGCCCGAGTGTGCCCTACAAGACTTCCGGCAAGTTTGTGGAGTTATGCCGCGATTGAGGACCGATATCGCGATACATTTTGTGACTGCCCCATTTTCCTGGCCCACGACTGCTCCAGATCTCCAAATAGGAACCATTCATCATCAATGCGTCTACGGAGTAACGGATACAGTTCCATGTTATAAAACTATCGACAAATCAATGTCAACTACACATGTACCTTCAACGTCCTCTGGGACCGTCACCAGCCGTCAACCACTGGGAATATTACGTTGTCATGTGAATTTGGCACTCAAGGAGCATAGTGGGAAATCTTCCGTTTTCATCAGACTATGGTACTCTTAAAGACAGTCGTTTCAGGCCCTCCGCCCTGTGGCGCACGAACGGCCAACAAGTTTGAAAATTCCAACGCAGCTTCCGTGACAGGCTCATTGCCGTGGCGTCTAGAAGCGGGTATAATGCAAAAGCGATCCAAGCAAATCGTTGTCATCTTCCAGTCGTTGTCTCGTTCATCAACCCACACACTCCTGCGTCTGCCTTGTCACAAATAAAGGCATGCTCCTTCCCCAGTTTCGGCCTGCTGAGTATCACGCCTACGCCCATGGGGCGATAGGGTTGACCTCCCTGCTACCCGCCGAAGATTCAGAAGAAACAGAGCCTGAGATTCTCTCGCAACCGCCGTAGGCTTGGCGAACCTGCTTTCGATTGGCAGACTTCTTCTTGGCAACCGTCTCGGGATCAGGCCCGCTGGAAGGCTTGATGGCCTCTTCGGGAATTGCTCCGATGGGAGCGTGCAGCTTTGCGCTGGCATCTGGGTCATTCATCGCGATCCCATGTTTGTGGTACTCTTGTTTCTTGAGCTGTTTCCAGTCCTGGGAGGACGGCTCGCCAGTACTGAACCAGTCTTTGAGCTGGCTCACCCAATGATGCTTGCCGTCTTTGGGTTTGGTCTTATCACTTCGTCTCTTCTTTGTAGGGCTTCCACTGACACTAGCTGTAGAAGCGCTGTACTCTGATATCTGAGAATGGTCGGAGAACATGCGTTTCGGAGGGGACATTCTCAAGTCCATCTCCGAGATTCTGCGTCTGAGACCCATCTCGTCGTCTGAGAGATCGAGCAATGTTCCTGGATGGTTGTCTTCTTCGTCTATCGCTAGCCCGATCTTATGGGGAGCAGTTCGCGTGTCGACTGTTGCTATTCCTGAGCTAGATGCCGGGCGAAGTGGGCTCGGCGGGCGTAGGTGGGTGGATGCAAGATCGACCGACTTGGCGAACTTGTGACCGAGAACAAAAGCGCGCTTATGAGGAGACGCCTTCTTAGGTGGGCTTTCAAAGATAGCCCGAGCTGATGGATGAGTAGTTTGAGATCCAATGAGAGAATCTCGGTCAGGATTCTGCGGCGCACTTCTATCGATTCTGGGCAATTCTTCGGATTGAATGATCTTCTTGGTTCTCTGTGGTCTTGAGATTCCGAGGAGACTTCGTCGTTTCTTCTTCTTCTTCTCTGAAATCGGCCCCTAGCCGTAGACAAACGCCTCTGGTCCAGTATCGGAAATAAAAGACTGTGAATCTGTCGAGGGTTCGATTTCTTCTTCCCGTATGGGTCTGTACGATGAAGCCCAGTAGAACGGAGGCTCGATGCGGTCACTAGGTGTGGATGTTCGTGCTTCTCCAAAGCCAGCAGGAGGTAGGTGAATACCCGGCTGTGCGGATGAAGAGATGGAAGGTCCCGACGGTGGTTGTAAGGCCGCGGTTGGGTATGAGAAATTCCGAATGGGAGGCGAAGGTGCTGGTGAGTGGAAGGGTGAAAGCAGGTCTTCTTGGATAGGTTGAGGCGGGTTCTTCTGCTTGTTTCGATGTCGATGGAAGAGCCGCATTGTTCGGGGAGAGAATAGACTAGTAAAACTGCTATTCAAGCAGTCGAAAAAGACGCCCGAATCCCCTGAGATTTGCAGAAGAGATGCCAGACAGTATTCTTTGGTAGGTGAGGACGGACAGTGTCACACAATTTCCTTATAGGATGAAGGTGAAGGTGGCTAGGAGGATTTGTATATGTGCGGAGAAGGCGAAAAGGAACGGTGGAGTCTGATAACAAGTATTCGAGGCGAAGGAGTTGGGTGTTTCGGAACTGAGTGTTGAGACATTTGTATGTTCAGTAAAGTTGAGGCCGTGTCAGAGAGGAGAGAAAGGAGAACTGGCGGGCGAGGAGTAGAAGTAGAGAAGATCAGCAGAGAGAGAAAGAAGGACCTCGTGGCAGTAACGTGTAATTTGACGCCGGCCCAAAAGAAGCGGAATGGAAACAAGAGCATGAGACGGAAAGGTCTCAGAAGCCATGCATGCTCGTAGCTCGCTAGCTCGCTCTTGTGCTCTTGCCCCGCTCGTGTTGATTACCTTCCACGCCTTCCCATGTTTTTCTTCAGGAAAGAGCAGGCGGATTGGCTTGGCCTGCACCTTCGATGCTTTCTTTTGGTGGATGCCATGCCTTGTCCCGCATGCCACCCCGGCGTTCAGCACCTCGTGCCCATTAGCTCCTGCCATGTTGAGGACAGAAAGAGCGAGGCATCACGGACACCATCTACCCGACCCTGTCGATATGCCAGCCCTGCAATACGACTGGACGCCACATGTCACTAATCATACGCTAACGCCAACGTTGGCAAAGACTGTGCGGTAACCCGTAAGAAACGACGTTTAGTATTCATTGTTAGGGCACCCTCACGAGATGAGTGACGTCTTCCCCGGACGCTCTACTACTGCGGCATCGTTGAACTATGAGCAGAGCCCTTGCCTGAAGTTGTTTGAGGGCTGGGTCCATGCAGGGAATTGGAGTTCCACTGTCGGACTCCTTAGTCGACTGTCGACCTAGTCATCCCTTGGTTAGGTGTCTCGTAGTGTCTCAGGAACCAAAACGCAAGACTGGCTTAGCAAAACCAAGTGCTAGCCCTTTGACGGCGTGTCGTTTTGTCCTTTGTTGACCGTCTTAGGTAGGGAATGTGGTGCAGTCAGCTTGAAAGCACGGCTAACCCAGCGGTATGGTTCAGGTCCAAGATGCATCTCACACACTTTAGGCTTCCCGTATCGGGGCGCAGCATCCTTTGTCTACGGATACTGGCCAGCAGGTTGGAGGGGGCCCGTTTGTGCGGTAGTTGGATGTTTTGAAGGAGGAAGACTGCACTGATGATCGCCAGAAAGAAATGAAACAAAACCTTCGCCGATGAGATTCGATATTGAAGACAGACTGAGGTCAAGCTAGATATTGGCGGGTCTTTTGCGACAAGTTTTCCTTATTCGGAGTTGTGATGCTGGGTCCTATCGAGATTTCGATAGCGTGGGCTGTAAAATGGAAGAAGCAAGTTTTCTTGCTGCAGCCACAATCTGATGTATCACAGATTCAGCTTGGCGCCCGCGGATTCCGTTCCTCGTTCCGGTGCACCAGATGTGCCCTCTCCTGCGCAAGGTAAAAGGCCACATCTTCTAGATGCCGTCGAGCTTCTCACGAATCTAGACAAGCTCGGAAGTCTACCATGGGCTGTGCAGGAATACGGACGTACGGTAGAACAACGTTGGACGGATTCTCGGAAGCTTTGGCTGGATAGCTGGACTGCTAGACCTGAACCGCACCAGTGCTTTCGACGTCATTGCTAGATGATCGAGATTCAAGAATACGCTCTTTCCTTGTGCTCAAACTCAATGCCCATGGTGTTTCTCTCCGGAAAGAGGTTCATCGTCGATTTCTGCATCGGCGACTCCTCTCACAATAGCGGCCGAACAGAAATCTCGGGATGACAACCAATCAATTTAGCCCACCTCTGCACTTCAGGCCCTGACGCAGATAGATTGAGCACTTGGCACGTGCACGCTCTTTCTGAGATGACCGTGCACCGCCTGCCTCCCGTCGGCGTCGTGATTCCGATCTTGACAATCTTCTGCAGGCGCCCTGCTCCAATCGAGCTAGCCAGTGGCGAACCTGCATTTGAACGTCAACCTCGGGGCGCTGTTTCCATGTCCCTGTCTTGCATCCAACCTTTGACTTTGGAATCCGTTGAATGAATCGGGCGGGCCACACAATTAGATAGGACCGTACTTTCAACAACATCAACAACACCGGCAAAGTCAATAAACAGAAACCGTCGCTTGGCGCACGCACTTTGAATTCACCCGACCCCTACGTCCGTTGGCTTCCGCAGCCCGCCCTGCGTTCTCATCGTCGAAACTATCGTACCACAACGTACCTATTTCCTCTCTAGAAGCTTCTCACAGGTACACAAGCCCACAGGCACCCGCTTGAGAACCTGATTTAAGCTGAATGCAGCCTTCCCTGCACAGCGCTAGTATCCGAAGCTGACAAACTTCCCGAGCCATCTGCACGCGCGGCGCGCCAAACGCACGGTGCACATTCAGCTCCGATTGCACTCCCGTTCCCCCTCCTTCCCAACCCCACCACGAGACGATAGACATTCCAACTTTCAACCTTCGATTCTCCCGCTCACACACCCAGACGCCGACCACAAAAAAACAAAGCAAGAAGCACCGCTGCTCCCGAGAGCGAGCCGCAAGCCTTCTCCCAACTATGCCCGGACTCACGATACAAACAGACGCGATCTCGCCGCGCACATCAAATGCGCCGGCACCGGCGCCATCTACGTCTGCGGCTGCTGGTCTGACTGCTGCCACAACCTCTTCGGCAGGCGGAACAAACCCACCACATGCGCAGCAGACCCCTCCGCGATCCTCTCGCTCCTCATCCCCCGCCCGGCCCCCCATCAGCCCCATAACCCCGACCCTACCCCCGGCCCGTCTGCCGGACCCTCCCGCCCCTTTCGCTGCCGACCGCCCAGTCCTTACCCACTCTTCCCAGCCGTCCGCCGCTACCGCCATCCCCCCTCCGCGTCCCGAACCCATCGACTTTGATTCCAACCCCGATGTCCTCGCCCTCAAGTCAGCCATCTCCATCCTCCAGATGCAATCGAAAAAGGCTGCCGCCGATATCCAAGGGCTCAACGCCGCAAAGAACGCCGCCGTAGAAAACCCATCAGCTTTCCTCGCCGACCTCGGCGCAGGCAAAGTGCACACGCAAGGCGACAAGCTGTTTGCTGAGTCTGATTCGGATTCAGACGACGAGACAGAGGGCAAAGCAGATGGGAGTGCCGCGCAGGGCAAGGCGAAGGAACCGCCACAGCCCTGGGAGTCACTTCCCAAACCCCAGAACGTGGTGCGCTGTCCGCCCATCAACTGGTCACAATATGCCGTCGTCGGCGAGTCTCTCGACAAGATTCATGCGGACCAGCTGGCCAGACCAAGCCAAGGCGCTCCGGCAACGTTAGGACCCAGCGGAACATACGAGTTCAAAGGGGAGCCCGGAGGTAACCAGAGACCCTTCATCGGCGTCGCGGCCCCTTACACACCTGGGAAGGACAGGATCGAGAAGAAGGCAAGGGGAAGCAAGCGCTGAGACATGACGTTTCTTCCGTCCAAAAGATCTGAGAAGAGCCGTTTGAGGCAAGGTTGCCAGAACAAACATCCCGGGAATGGATGTATGATTGATGTTTTTCTACTGAGGTCATGAGATTACGAGGCGTTAGGCATGAATAGGGTGCATGGAAAGGAAGGCGTTTTTGATGTGTTGAGCCAGTGCCATATCTTCATTACGAGTTTGAAGAGGAAAAATAAAAAAAACAACGATATCAACTTTCGAACGTAGCTACTTTCGTCGCGTCGTTATCCGAGGTATCTACTAGAGTCTAGCGGGACAATCCCAAGCCCGTTCCTGAATATGCATGATTCCGATGCCGTTAACGCCGTCCAGCCCTCTGAAAGCAACTTGAACTTGGACAAGCCAAGATCAATTTTCACTACCATCCTCATTATGACCGGGGAAACCGATAACCGGAAAAAACGTCCACCTTTTGTACCGCGTTGGTCGCGTGGTGAACACCCGCGTACCCATGGTGATGTGCCTTAGCCTGAAGGTGCTCATGAGAAGCAATATCAAAAGTCACTGAAAAGTTTAGCTTAGGAACACAGGACAAGATTCCAAGAGCGACTTACTCCATGCTCTGCTGCACGGATCTGCGAAGTCGCCTGTTGTAGTTCTTGCGCGCCTCAGCGCCTCCCCAGTAGAGGGTGTGCGCCTCAGGGTGTACCAAAGTTCGAGGGTCGTAAGCCGGATCTTCTTCTTCAAGTGCCGTGAACACAGCCTCGATGTGAGTTCGAACGTCCTCCTTCCTAAGTGAGTTCGGGAAATAGCACACTGTACCGTCTTCTGCAATACGATGGTGGAAAATGCGTGTGTGAAACTTGACTCGAGGTTGCTCCTCGGGGAACTTAGTACTGAAGTGGATTTTGAAGCGGAATAGACCACCGTCGAGGTTCGTCATTGGACGCCCAAAATAGGTGATGATCCAAACGAAAGGATTATTGTCCTCCAACTGGACATCATGAGGAATGTCTTGACGTTTGAAGGCCTGCACCACTTGCTCATACTGGTGGCGCAAGTTGACGGAAAGTGTCATTTCCTTTTCGATCGCAACCTCGCCATCCTTCGCCCACTTGACGAGCTCATTGTCAAGCGCAGCCTTGACATTCCGCAGGCGTCTTTCCAATTCTGTGTAGTTGAACTTGCCGTCCATGGTGTTGCTAGCACCTTCAAACGGCATGCGAACAAACGCCTGGTGGTCCTTAACCTCGGTCTTTGCCTTCTGCACAGCAAGGAGGTAATTGTCGTAGTACCATAGGAATCGCCGCTTACATAAATCCTTGAAAGGTTCGAAAGGAACGTTTGTATCGTCGATGTCATCGTTGTCGATATCCAGCTGATCTCCGTCCGCCGCAGACTGTTGGGCAATAGCGTTGCCGTCGGGTGTAAGACCAAGGTATTCCTCCATACGCTGGATGACGGAGACTCGAAGTGTTTCGTGACGTATCTAGAGCAAGCATTAGTGCCATAGTCTCCCATCATCCCAACACACAAGCGGTTCAATTCACCTTCTGGACGTAGTCCTTCTGGTTCTTCTTATCCGATGCTTCATTGGCCTCCTCGAATCCAGGCTCGTTCTCGTAAGGGTTTCCGGACATTAAGCTCTGGATTGAAATGAGGATAGATTCGAGGCCCTGTGCCGCAGACCATTCCTCTCCACGCTCTCCACGCCATGTGCTAGGTCCTGTCAGTCAAAAGTCCCTTGGCAAATCCCATGCGCCTGGTTATACCCGAGGATGGACCTGCAATACACGTTAGTGCTCTTTGCTACTAGAGTGCTCCATCGCGGGAGGTAAACCCACAAGCAAACCTTGCCAGACGAGTAGATGTTGGGGTTGAATCGGCATCGGCCTCCGTTCGTTGTAATACCATTGACATTGGGCGACTTTCTAGGGTAATCTACTTTTGCGTCAGTCTAACCCACCCTTCACTGCCGCATTATGGTAGAAGTGTACCCTTATTGAATCTGATCGCAAACTGCTTTCCCGTTAGTACTGCGAGCAAGCCAGACACTTTCACAGCAAACCGGTACCTCAAAGAACCCAAACTCATACGGAGTGTCGTGAGGTCCGATGATCAAGGCCTTAACATTGCGAACATCGACATCACGACAAGCGACAGCTATGGCTGGCAAGGATGTTAGCATGTGGGCTCGACTGTGTTCGCGGGGAGGTTCGTACAAAGATCCGAGGTTCGCTGGATGTCGCCGAGTTCCTGTTGTGCGATCAAACGTCAGCCTTGCGGTTCTTGCCCCTCCTTCATCGCTCTGGTGAGGGGCGGGGCAGCTAAGGTACCTTGGTAATCCGAATGATGGATTGATCCGCCATGATGCCAGCTGGGTCAGGCGCTACCCCTTGACAGTCAGTGAGCGTGCTTTGGCAGATGCTTGGTTGTAGGCAGTGATCGTAGATTCTCCTTGACGTGAGTAGGTAGTTGATGGAGAATCGAAGATGTGAGTGCGGCCTGAGAGCCTGGGAGAGTGGTAGATGTCTGGTCAGTAAAGCGCTCTCTGCGACCGGTCAGATGCAACTTGAGGTGGGTTCTGTTGGTTGTCGGTTGCTTGGTTGGTGGTCGAAAACCAGGGTAGGGAGGAGGGTAGGTAGGTACCACAGGCTACCTTAAAGCTGCTCAGGCTGGTAGAAGTACAAGTTCTGGGCGGTAAGGGCTCACCTCAGTTGATGGGACGCTGGGACGAGGCAGCTGCACCAAGTGCCTAAACTGGCAGTTTGGCGGGGCAGGAGGGGTAATTTTAGCGTGCGTTGATGCAGGTGAATCGCAGCGTTATTGTGTGGTGAAGAGGCCTCTTTGAACTTCACAACTAAGAACTCCTTTCAAGCCCCACAGCGGAAAGTGTTGCTTTCATTGACGCGAAATTTGAGAGATGCGACTGAGCAACAAAATAGAGAAATGCCCATAGGGTGTCTTATTGCCTTAGTCTTGAAAGATGTGGCTGAATGAGATAGATACTTCATGTCACACAGTTACCTCTACTAACCAGAGCCTGCTTTACCTGCAGAAGTATTGATGACAGTAGCTGAGGTGTGGCACTTGCTTTAGGCGGTGTTCAATATATTTGTCAAAATGATCCCTTGCCGCTCCTAACCGTTCAAAGGTCGCCTCTGACCGGGTCTGAGTCCTAGTAATCTGGGTAAGGTCTTACTCGAAATCTTACATCGGATGCCATCGGGTTCCAAATCGGATATTGCTCCCTCCCCCCTTAGAATATTATGATCTTACATGTGGCCCAAGCAGTTTCTGAGGGATTAGTCGTATCTCCCCTCTACTATACCATTATGCTTGGGGAAACGGGAAAGCAATGACCAACTTGCTTCTCGTTTAGAAAACCTTTACGCCCACTTGCCCATCTAGACCTTCGCACTGCTCACATTCTCAGCCAATGGACGGTTTTTCTTTGATTGAACAAAGTGAGTCGTTGAGTGAAATGAAGTAAAGACAAACTCACAATGAACAGACATAGAGCACTGTGAAAAAAGTGATGTTATGATTGCTTTCTTGACAAGAGTAAGATGGTTTCAACATTGCAGTGAGTACCTATCCCGGACTACCTATTTACCTACCTAGGTACCTAGAGAGCTTTCGGTACGTATCTAATGTAAGGTTTTGAGGGTACCTCGAAAGTGGGACGGTCGCGGGGTTCCGTCGACGCGGTGGGTTTACACCCCTGTCGGTCAAGAAAGCTCCAATACGCGTTAAATCGACTGGGCAGCGCGTCTGACAGTTTAATTGATTTTCTACGATCGTCACTACCGCCACACACCTGAGGTGCAGAGAAGAGCTACGATTGATAGAACAGGACAAGATATCACGACCTGCAACGTCAAATCTCCAATCGAGATACCAATCAATCACCCATGGCGAGCTTTTTCGACCTCAAGGCCAGGAAGGCCGCCGCGGCAAACGGCACGTCGACCCAGAAGCAAGAGAAATCTGCGCAACCGCCACGAGCACAGCCATGGGTTGAGAAATAGTTTGTCTTCCCACGAACGTCCTAGAAAGTCGTACGCGTTTTCATTTACCATACTGACGTTTACCGACAGTCGTCCTAAGACTCTCAGCGATGTCACAGCACAAGACCACACCGTCACGGTTTTGCAGAGGACGCTGCAAGCCTCCAACGTACGACTGCTCCCTGATGCATTGAGGCATTGCTAACCCCGAAACGCAGTTGCCGCACATGTTATTCTACGGCCCCCCAGGCACAGGAAAGACCTCTACAGTATTAGCTTTGGCTAAAGAACTCTACGGTCCCGAGATGATCAAATCACGCGTGCTCGAGCTCAACGCTTCCGACGAGCGTGGAATCTCCATTGTCCGAGAGAAGGTGAAGGACTTTGCTCGCATGCAGTTGACGAACCCGACGAACGAATACAAGAAGAGATACCCTTGCCCGCCATTCAAGATTATCATCTTGGACGAGGCCGACTCCATGACCCAAGACGCACAGAGTGCCTTGCGCCGCACCATGGAGACATACAGCAAAATCACGCGGTTCTGCCTGATTTGCAACTACGTCACGCGAATCATCGACCCCCTTGCTAGTCGTTGCAGCAAGTTCCGCTTCAAGAGCTTAGACCAGACCAACACAAAGAAGAGACTGGAGGATATCTCAGAAAACGAGGGCGTACAGCTGGAGGAAGGCGCAGTGGACGCCCTCATCAAGTGCAGTGAGGGCGATCTGAGAAAGGCTATCACATTCCTGCAGAGTGCTGCGCGACTGGTAGGCGCAGGCGAGAAAGATGCTGCCGGGGGTGATGCTATGGACGTCGACAAAAAGCCCGTCACGGTGAAGATTATTGAAGATATCGCTGGTGTCATTCCGGACAAGACCATCGACACATTAGTCTCTGTCATCCGCCCGCAAGGCGCTGCAGACACGTACGCAGGGGTGGCCAAGGTGGTCGAGGACATGGTGGCAGACGGCTGGAGTGCTGGGCAGGTTGTTACTCAGGTGAGCTGCCCCCCGATATTTGACTGCTCGTCGCGTTGCTAACAGTTTTCCAGCTCTACCAGGCACTCGTCTTTGACGAGACTATCCCGGATGTACAGAAAAACAAGATTGTTCTCATCTTTTCCGAGGTCGACAAAAGACTTGTGGATGGCGCGGATGAGCACTT